GGAGTAGAGATATTTACTTCTAGTGAACGTGGAATTTCATACATATGATATAACAACTGCTTGTATAACCCATTTTATTTCAAATTCATGATTAAAACTAGGTAACAGATAGATGTAATTAACTTTTCTTGTCGTATTTTTCTAACGCAGACATACGATAATCGTATCAAACATTTCGCTTTCTTCCCAATTACATAGAACCTTGATTTTACAATCCAGCGACATTTCACAAGAAAATTGTTGAAGGACGATTTAATTGTTCAGAAATTATTACTGACATTTCCTATTAATGATTATAAGGAAAATTCACCAGGTTTTTATCGAAGATCTGAAATAATTCCCTTTCACTAGGGAAGTGTATTGCGTTACTCAGATCCTATCGAAATTAGGAAACCCGTCAAGTAGTTACTAGCGAAAAGATTAAAATTATTAAATTACCTTAGAGAGAATGGTAAACTCAAACAAGCCTCAGAAAGGGTCCGGAAGGATTTAAAGGACGATACAAAAAAAATTAAGCATAACTTGTAAGAGTTTTTTTATTCACTTCAGAAAATAAACTACTGTATTTGGTGAAATAAAATTTATAAATTCTACTCATTTTGTAAACAAATATTTATAATACCTTTAGTTAAAACTTTACTAGTGGTTCGGTCCGGGCCTCGGCATGGAAGAGAATGCAGAAAAGGTGGTGATTCTTCACCGCCTTTTCCAATGCAAACTGCTGGTTGATCAGAAGTAAACAAGTAAATCAGAAGTAAACAAACTAAAATGAAACAACAAAGCAAACAGCTGACAATTAATTCAACAATTATGATTGCAGCTGATGTATCTTCAATATTTTAATGTTATTGAATACAACCTACTTTGTGTGGTCGCCATTTCATTGAAAAGTATTAAAAGTAAGTATTAAAGTAAAACCCTTTAATTGAAGTTCCTGCCCTTAGGAGAGGGTTTATAAAAAAACTGACATTTTTCGGACAAGTTTCACATCAAGACCTTTCATGTAAGTATGCAGTTGATAGGGGCACAGCATTATGGTTTTCTCAAAAGTTCAGATCCTCCTTAGCTTTATCTCTTTATGGTTCGTGTACTAACACATATTTTTACCCGAAGAAGTCTTATCGCGAAAAAATGAAGTACAATTAGTTTTAAGCTTCACTACTGCAAGTGGTAACCAACAATACATCATCGACATGTTGTGCAATGGCTTGACCTCTCATCCGAGGTATATTACTATTGTTAACCACGCAGACTGATTATAGAAGTATCATTTGTAAAGATGATGGATAGACAAGTGTCTAATTACAATCATGATAACACATGTAAGAATACGCGAAGATTTAATCGTGTCTTGAACTATCTATGGATGCTGCACAAGTCAAACTCTAGAAGAAGAAGAACTGTTCAAGTTCCGACCATTCTCATTTTTCTTTATACTCTTCTTCAAGACTTGCCTAAATTCTTGCTAGATTTTACGTAGAGACTTATAAAAAAATTCAGTTTAATGGTAGACATTGGATTAACTGATTATGTGATGGGTTATTAACTACTTAACCTTAGTTACCTTAAGCGATTTTATGTAGCAAGTTTGCATCGCGGTTTCAACTCCATTCAACCATTTCCTTTCAACTCCTTCATCTTTGTAACAAAACTGCAAACTAAAGATTGTTTGTTACATTATCGAGTTTTATTACATTAATGTTAGATTAATGGAATTAAAGTTCGATCCAAGCCTAGTATTCAGTGAGTACTTACGTTAAATCTGTCCCCCCATGGAAACTCTGTAAATTTCGATTAAATGATAGGTTCTAACCTTGCGGAAGTTTACTATGTAATTCATCCCATGGTTTTCCGATCTTCAGAATCTTTGGAGAAGAGATTCATTTACATTTCAGGTATATAAAACATGTTTCCTACTTTCACCCATCGTTCGTTTTATGTACAGTTTCTCACATATTCCATACATATTACGTAAATGTTCTATAAAAACTCTTTAAAATGGAGACACTTGTCAGGTCAAGACTATATTGAGTCCATCTTCAGTTAGTTTAGCAGGTTTTAACTTTCAACAAAAATGTCGAGACTTCAGCCAATTCCCTAACAGTTTTGTAGTATTGACTGACTGGTGTTAATAGTGCTCGACTAACATTCAAAAGGTCACCGGTTTAATCCTGAGAAAAGTCAGTAAGGTAGCTTTTTGACGATTTGAAACCGAACCCAGCTGTTCATGAACATTGGGCTTTAAAAATCTGATGAACCAGCTGATCTTAGTCAGTATAAAGCTACATAGATCACCTCACAACTTTCTACACTCATCCTTCACTCATATTTTGGTAAAAATACGCACCTACGTGACGACCCCTCAAAAATAATTTATAATTTACATGGTTTAAATAATTAAAAAAATGCCTACTCATTATTTGCTTAGGTCACAAAATGCTATCACCAACATTTGATGCTGATTCACAGAAGTGTATACTTTGTCAGTCAGCCAATGTTTACTTGTCTCAAGCAAACATCATAACTGACTCCGCCGTGGTATCGTAACCCCATTGTGAGGTTGCTTCGTTGCAAGCGGCTGTCGCAGCGCGTTTCACGGTTGCATTTCACGGTTGCAACAGCTCAACAACGGATCACGTAGGGGCGTGAAATGCGATTACATCAGACAACACAGCTTCTGATCATAGATACCGCGTGTGTAGGTTGAATATGTTAGGCAAAAACATTATTAAGTTGAACAAATACATACATTTTCATTTTCATTCTTGTCTTGCCTTATTACATGATTACAGAATTACAGAGACATATTCTGGTCGACTGTTAAATATCGTCATCATTCTCAATCGAGATGGGACTCAACTAGATATATATTACCCCAAATATAAGTGAAGGATGAGTGTATAAGGGGTTGAAAAGATATGTGTAGCTTTTCTGACGAAAAGCTGTGTCTATAGCATGAACTATTTATATTTATTTATTTACTTTCATTTGGGCCCAATGTTCAAGGACAGAAAATTCAAAACATGAATAAGTGTCTGTATTGTCCAGGATGGAACCAGCAAACTTTTGATTGTCAGGCAAGCACTAAAACCAATCAGCAGCCCAGCTTTTGTATGATGCTAAGCATTGTTGGTTGTACCCGTTGTACCTTGTGCATACTATTTCACCCCGACGAATCGATCCGTTTCTTTGGGTCCTTTTATGCGGTGAATCCGTTACATTATTTATAGCTTAAAAAATGAACACCTACTATTGTGCAGACAAAAATGCAAAAACCCTTAAATCATTATACCAAGATACCCTTGGAACACATTTACGTTATTTTGCATTTTTGTAGTATACCTTATGTAATAGGTTTTCAACACAGCACCTCAATAAACTGATTTTGTAACAATGTACTAGTATTAAGGTTGCTTTCTTGATCTTAAGTATATTTTCTAAGTTTCCAGAACATGCTTTACTCATTTTCTGTGCCATCTCTGTATTATGCTGTACCTTATACAGGGTGAATTTTAAATGAGTCCTCCCCCTACTTTTTTCTATATTTCTTAAGATATCATCTCCGGACCACGTCAGATCATTGTTGAGTAGTAAGTACTTTATTTTGACTGGGTATACATTTTTGGCCGCCATCTTGGATCTGCCATATTGGATACAATGGTTTTTTTTCAAATCTAAAGGTAGGGTTGTGACCCATTATTTCAAACTAGAATTTTACGCTGACTACAATGCCGTAATTAGTTTAAAAAATCTTGATCCGTTCTAAAGTTATGATGACTTTTTATAACTTTATTTTTAGCCAATTTTAACATTGTGCATTAAAAAACTAAGACCATAATCTCAAAATAGTGCTAGATAAAGATAAGTATACACCACCATTCATTGTCGACATATTTTCACTTGGTTATGACGGATGTAGTTTTTTCAGCCGCCATCTTGGATCCGCCATTTTGAAATGTGATCAATTAATTTAAATATGAAGGTGGTGTTGTGACCCATCATTTTGAACTACTCTTTTATACTGGACTCAATGCCGCAATCCGTTTTTGGATATCAAGCTTTCTTGATGAAATATTAAAATACTCTTATTTAAAATTTCAATATTTCAAAATCCAAAGATGCAAATGATAAACGGATTGCGGCATTGAGTTCAGCATAAAAAAGTAGCTCAAAATGATGGGTCACAACACCACCTTCATATTTAAATTAATTTATCACATTTCAAAATGGCGGATCCAAGATGGCGGCTGAAAAAACTACATCCATCATAACCAAGTAAAAATATGTCGACAATGAATGGTAGTGTATACTTATCTTTATCTAGCACTATTTTGAGATTATGGTCTTAGTTTGTAAATGCACACTGTTAAAATGCGCTAAAAATAAAGTTATAAAAAGTCCTCATACCTTTAGAACGGATCAAGCTTTTTAAAAACTAATTGCGGCATTGTAATCAGCGTACAATTCTAGTTTGAAATAATGGGTCACAACCCTACCTTTACATTTGAAAAAAAAACTTTGTATCCAATATGGCGGATCCAAGATGGCGGCCAAAAATTTATACCCAGTCAAAATGAAGTACTTACTTCTCAACAATGATCTGACGTGGTCCGGAGATGAAATCGAAATGTAGAAAAAAGTAGGGGGGAACTCATTTAAAATTCACCCTGTATGTTAAAGACAATCTTTTCTACTTATCTTACAGATCTTGAGTATTTTAAGATATTCTCTGTATGTGTTTTATGGAGATTCTATTCAACACTTCAAAGTTTTCACACAACATCTTAGGTTTAAACAATCTCTTTAAAGATTGCAAGTAGTCTTCTGCCAGGACATTCGTGCACTCTGTAATTTTTATGTAACCTAGTTCTTGGCAATATCATCTACCTTATCATTTTTGTTACACTTCGATTTAGGAGCAGTTGCACCCGCTACTCTCTCATGTTCTCCTCAACTCAATAAATTCTCTGTCACATCCTCATGTTCTCCTCATGTTCCAGGTAGGATGCCCACGTCGGTGAGGGAGGACGAAGTGGGTGACGTGGAGGCTGACCTGGACCTGGACACTCTCCCAGAGGATGCCCAGGAGTACGCGAGGACGGTCCTTGGGGAGACTCCAGAGACTAGGGTCAGGACGGTGCAGGAGCTTTCAGACATGATCTATGGTAAGTATGAAATGCACGACCTATGTACAGTCTTGTAAAAAAGGGCAATTGATAGGAGAATGCAGCTGTTCATATTCAACATTTTGTTACTCGTTAGAATTATCAGTAATAACTTAGTGTACCTCATCGAGACAAATTCGCTGGTCTGGGAAAACATTCTTGGTAGAGATTCATGTTAATTACAGTAAGATTAGGATAAAATAAGGCAAGTAACAAAATGAAAATTTTTTAAAGAAATTCATTGAGTTGAAGTAGAACCAGAATATTTGCACATAAAAAAATGCTCAAACAATACCTCCAATTATCTGACGAAACATTGAGAATTGAGAAAAGCTATTAATCCTCTAGGTTGTATATGATTACCGTTAAATAAAAATATACATGATTGGGAAGATTTTAGGAACCTCTTTACTTTTATAGCATGCCATAATAGTTATAATTAAGGAACAATTTCAGCTTCTTTATTTGTCGTCGCTTTAAGAGTTATGCGTGAGGGTTAGAAAATTAGGCAGTTTATAGAGTTTAGTAACAGAAAACACATATTATACATTTTTGTGGATTTTTTCACAGGATAGTGTGAAGCATAAGTGGTCTATTGTAATTGTACGTACCTCATTCGTCTCCAATCCTAGGAATAGCATAAGTTTGCCTGGTTGTGCTTATGACTCAAATGTTTTTTCACCACACTATGATGTTGATAGCTGTTTAGATACGAATTGGTGGCTGAAAGTTACGTTTTGCTCGCCATGCCAGCTGTCTTCGTTATTTGGGGACCGAGCAGGTTTTTACATTCCTAGGGCCGCAAAATCAGCTGCCCGCTTACTTTCTTAAAACATGAATACATATTCAAGACACAATAAGTATCCATAGCATTACGTTAGAATTTTTTATTGTCACCGCTGCCTAGCAACTGTTTATTATTATTTTTGGTGATTCTTCAAATAGTTTCTTCACATAACCTTAAAGTTGTAGTTGTGTTGACTGTTAGTGTACATTATTATTGCGGCGAATAATAGGGTATAGTGTGGTGAAAAATAGCGTTCGTACCTCGGATCGAAATGGTTTTGCAGCTCTCGATCGATTTGAACTATCTCGAGCCGGCAAAACCTCATTTTCGGCCCTAGGTAGGAAATATATTATTAAATATCCGCAACTTTTACTTCTGACACCGAAGACGACCAAGGCACGTAAACCACAAATACATATTTATGACTTCAAATCCTTTTTCTACAGTCTCTAGACGTGTTTCTTCCAATATCCCTCTCTATTTTCAAGTCATTTAAAAATCGCGTAAATCGATGGGTCAATCTTCGTAAAATAATAACCTACTGAAATAGTTACTGCACTAAACGGCTAATATCAGCTGACTGAAGTCGTGCTCCTACAGTCACCTGTAATGACTTCCCTAATGTGTCTAAATGACAGCGTTCACCGTCCACAGGATAACTTTATGTCGCTTGTCACCGCTTATATCCTGCCACAGTTAATGAAGGACTAGGGAGTTGCAGGTGAGAACTGTGGCATTTCCTCAACTGCGCAATACCATCTATAGTTGACTGAAAACTCATATTAGAGTCATAGTGGGGAATTAGGTTGTGATATGTAATGTGTACTATTTTACTAACTATTCGGTTTAGTTTAGTTTTTTGACTCAATTACTGTGTTTTCAACTACAGTACTTATACGATGAACCGTTTTATTTTTTGGATGCCTTTGATGTATGGGATTGCATTGGAAAGTTAAAAAACGCGAGAAGGGGATTAGGTTATTTAGTTGATCATCAGTGGATACGTTACGAAAGCAACAGTAAAAGCCTGATAGATATTATGTAGTGCATGATGTTTTATGTAAAAAAACATTTTTTACCCTCCCTGTTGCAGCAAACCTAAGTACTTGTTATATTAAAGCTATTTAAATGGGGATTAAATGTGATATTTTTAAGGAGACATTTTAGCGTAAATCTAATCAGGAAAATGGAAATTCGCTTAGTCTGCAGGTTTGCTGTGGCGGGGGTATTTGGTATTACGACTTGGTTAACATAGTGATTCTGCTTATAAACGATCACTTCGGACATTTTCCATCAAAATAGGTAAATGGCAGAATCTTCACAATGTTACGGTATCGGAATCTTGTCCATCTTTAGATGAGAAAGAACGTTAGTAGATCAGTACACAAACCGAGATTACTACACCATTTGTTTAGATATTGTTGGAAAAATATCATTTTTGTTAAACCAATTCTTGTAACTAAACCATTCATTTTTGGAACTACCAATCAGTCAACAACGTTTACTATATAAAAAACTTGGTGAGGAGTTTGCCTCGATAAGAATCATGTAAGCTTATGTAATTTGAAATTATGTACTTTCAAATAAAAATTTGATTTGGCACACAAAGCCTATGTAGCTGTTAATTCCTTTCACTTTCTAAAAAAATCCACAAAACTTTGGGGGAGTTTGCCTCGTGTAAGCTTCTGAAATTTGAAATTATGTACTTTCAAATAAAAATTTGATTTGGCACACAGAACCTATGTATTTGTTAATTCATCGTATTTTCAAACAAAATCCACAAACGCAAACAGCACTCTCGTTTTGTGTCCGTGCAGTCATGAAGTTTCCTTAAAATTTCTTTGTTCGCGTAAATACGTACCTGCAATAAATATCTCCTATTTGGTCACAACGGTAAAACGGTTGTTTTATGGTCGGGTTGTTTTACGTGCCTGAAAGTTTTACCAACAAAAGTGAGTAAATTGGCCACGGTAGGTTCAAGTCGAGATTTGTGGTGAAGAAACGTCAGTTTCATAGTTTTACTTTAACTAGCTTTCCACTCAACCGCGGACATGGCCACTTAGACAGTTTTCAAGGAATGTTGAACAAAACACCTGCTTGAGGTACTAGGAATTCAAAGAAAATGACAAGAAGTAGGACGGGAACAAGTCGAGGTATTCAATGATTGTAATCGTTTACTTGTCAATCGTATTTTATAGCGTGAAGAAAAATCACAGCATTTGTTCAAATGACGATCAAACCAAGAACGCTGTCGCACTAGCATTGGAATCTTAAAGATAGAATGTTTGCTATGTAGCCTTCAAACTACAGGACTTTGTATGTCAAGTGTATACGTGATAAGGTTTTTCGATCATCATTGAACAGTATGTTATTACGAGAGTAAGTAGTAGAGCTTGGGCTTCGAAGCTTGAGGTATCGAATTCTAATCCCCACTAGGACTAGCCTGAAGTGATGTATAAAACAGTTACGGGCTAGAACCTGGTGTTCTAGGATGTGAAGGTGGGAAGAAATAACGGTATATTTTTAACAAGAACTTGCACATTTGTGTCCTGGTCATAAAATTATCCACAAACAAGCAAACAACAACCGTTTACTTTTTATCCATAAAAATGACATGGAAACTTAATGTACAGTATTTTTTTCTTTATCTTCTCCGTATAACCAAATTCTAACAACGCTTAAAAAAATACAAAATTATCCGCGTTTAAGTTCTAAATTATTTGGTTGCATTGATAAATAAGCATATCCACATTTAAAAATAACAATTTGGAAACCAATTTTTGCAAAATTTCATAACTACATTACACCCAGTTCGTATGACCTGACACTGCTGGTTTGCGAACTCAATCAAGTGTATACGTCCTTTCACATCCATACCTAATTTAATCAAAATCGGATTGCAGTATATCAAAGTGATAAAGTATATCGGTCCTGGGTGTAGGTCTTTCCGTGCTCCCTACGGTAATAGCTTCTTTCTTAAAGGGAAATTTGTTAAAAGTCAACGTCAGATAGTTAACACCATAAGGGTTTGGACTGTTCCCTAAACAATAAACATTTCAATAATTTTGACGATAAAAACAATAATATTTTAAGCCATGATAGCAAACGTTTATAGCATGCAAAATAAATCAATCCAAAAATGTATGAAAAACTACACGATAACAAACTATTCTTCACTTTTCCATTTATTCCTTCCATCCTTCTTTCCTCTTCCTCCTGTTATTGGTGTTTCCTTCTTATCTCTTGTTTTGCCACTTCTCAAGCTCTGAAATAATAATCACCTTCTTCGCCGTCCCAGTAAGCTATCACCGATCACGGTCCCTCGGTTTCCTGATTTCACTTCGTGACAGATCCAACAATTACCTGGGATAATTTGTCGTGTTAGATATTTCCAAAGGAAAATGAGGAAACGGATGAGGAAATGCGAACCTTTTCCGTTAATTCACTACCACTAGTAGCTCTAAAAAGAGCAATAGATTATTGGCAATAGAAGTGGTAGTGAATTGAACTTTGGTTAGGTTAGTATAGAGTTAGGAAAACCTAACCTAACCTAACCTAACCACATTCTGCTAGTGGTAGTGAATTAACGGAAAAGGTCCGGAAATGCTATTAACTAGGCTGATGGTAGTTTAAATTCGTGTAATCGTTCTTAAACATTTAAAAGTACGGAAAGAAGTTCCTTTGTTTATTTTGTAGTGAGCCTACAAGTGTTTGTTATGTTTTTCAAATGATAAGTCAACTTTTTATCTTATTACCATCCAAAACAATATCTTCTTGTTAAGAAAATTAATAAAATGTATGATTGTATACGTAATAAAATACATCATAATAAGCGTGGTGTAGTACTTATTATTTAACGTAAAATGGTTTACTAGACGTTGCTACAGGGGTGATGCATTTTACGGAGGAAGTAATTTTAACAAATCATATTTGCAGATATATCCTAAATACAGAATTTCTCCTAATAATGTTACCCCCAAGTGTTTTTAGTGATATTACGCAAGTGGTTCTCTTTGGAGGAAAGCAGTCCGAACACATAACTGACTTGTGTTTGTTGTGTTTGGTAAATAAATGTTGATTTTGTTGCAGAACGTGGAGATGTGATGCCGATTCGTATGGATGACGACTATCTCATATTGTTCCTTCGAGCAAGAAACTTCAAAGTTGACGCTGCTTACAGACTGGTAAGAAAAGTTTTCCATCTTTTAAATATGTGCAAAATGTTCTTCTTATACATCACAATATACTAAGTGTGTTTAACATCATAGTAACGTATAATTTGCATTAACGTCAAATTTACCAATCTGGTTTTAATGTAAAGTGAAGATAAATTTGGTTTAATTATAATTTAGTGCCTGAAATTGCCAATAGATTAGGTACAAGCATGTACAAGAGAGAATGAGTTATATATGTCAAGGATTTCTCACATGTAACTCAGCAAAAATTTTTATTTAACCGTAGAAATCGTTGTTTAGTGTTATTGTAGCCTTAAAAAGTATACATAATTTTATTTGAGCATTTACTCATTCAGTACTATATGTTTTATCACTGGGATCCAACGTAGATTCGATAGATGATTTCAAACCGAAAGTCTTTAAGCCTATAGCCACCATATTATTCCTACTAATACTATCACCTATTCCTTTACCATAGTCATAATATTCGTTAAAAGTAATTAAATTAACTGGATTTAGAGTTTGTTGAACTAAGTTTTAATTTTATTCAAGATGGAATTACAAAAAGAGTTCCGTACCAAAAACAAGACGTAGCAATCTTCGTACAAACCGCACATTATGTTTTACGATTCACGAGATGCCGAATGGAATTGGACACCTGATGACTGTCATAAAAATATCAATAGAGTTTCTACGATTTCTCTTTCAATTCTGCAAATGCTATTGGCACAATCTGTGTACTCATGGGATATGGTTGTAAGTAACATTTTCACCACTACGATGTTTTTGTCTATGCCAGCTGTCATCGTCATTTGTGGACCGAGCAGGTTTTTACACCCCAAGGGCCGAAAATCAGCTGCCCGCTTACTTTCTTAAAACATTAATGCATAAATACACAATCAGTATCCATAGCATTGCAATATAATTGTTTTATTGTCATCACTGCCTAGCAACCGTTTATTATTATTTTTGCTGATACCTCAAATTATTTCTTCACATAACCTTAAAGTGTTGTACTTGTGTTGACTATCAGTGTGCATTATTATTGTGGTGAATAGTGGTAATAGGGTGAAGCGTGGTGAAAATAGCGTTCGTACCACGTACCGAAATGGCTTTACAGATCTCGTTTTAAGTTATCGACTTCGTCTGGAACTTAGGAACTGCCTCGAGCCGGCAAAACCTCATTTTCGGCCCTAGATACGAAATATGCTATTATTATAAGAATGCTTCTAACGAAAGGTACAGAAGATATTTGGGCCTAATATTTAGTCTACTCTTATATTTTACCCTGTAAGATACCCATAAAACTGGCCTTGGAACAGCAATGATGGTTTATCACCAACCACCAAACAAATGCAGAGGAAATTATAAGGATATGTGTATATGTTTGTTTTGGTTTGTGGGAAAATGGTTTGCCGGCTGTTAGTTAAAATTTCAGGAGATAATGGAACCATGAAATAAGAGATCTTTTTACAAGTTACACATAGTTTCAGAAGTTCTCGATTTTTAGCAAGTTTTTTACTCGTGGAGAATCCATACTCTAATACAGTAGCCTACTATTTGACTTGCGTGTGTTTAGCGAAAGCACGTCTCCACGGACTGTGATCTTCTCGTGTCTTGGCGTTACATTGAGCTTCATTTGCATAAGAACCAGTCAGGAAGCGTGTCCTCATCAGTCATCTTTCGGATGCAAAGTCCTTTGGCGCAAGCGATTGCTTAATTTCCTTGTCACGGATTTGATTCGTGTGTGAATAGTGAAACGTGAACTTTATTTTTGTCAGTCTGGATTCAAGGCATGACTTGTTCGTGTGCTTATTAGAGTATGAATAGCTAAACACTGTTACCGACTGAAAACAATACTGAATGCTTTCTTTCGACGTTGAAAAGCAGGCCAATGTTTCTAGCTATGCATCTAATGCGAGTATAGAACTTACACCATTGAAAAGGAAATAGATTCTCTACATACTCCAACAACTGTAGTTTATTCGATTCCTTAGTTTTGTAATCACTTATATATTATTATAGATTAATCAAGTAGATTAATCACTTAAAGATTATTATGCATTTGACGGAAACACAAGAGGTTCCTGTGCAGAAAGTTTTGTTCAAATATTCAGAGTATCTTCTTATTTCTACTCAGAAACAATGCCGATAACGGATATGGTCCTTAATTTCTCTGAAAATAAAAAAAAACATTGAGCTAAATGTGTTGTGTGATTGAATTCCGATGTTTAATACGCTTTTTTAACTTTAATATATATATATAGCAGAGCACCTATGCAAACTGGTGAGAAACATTGAGTATTTTTATTCAAAATCTTACACAAACCCCAAATAGGGACTATAATTTTTGTCATCTACGCAGCTAACTGGATCGTATGGTATTAATGTAGCAAAAATCTATATTCCAATCACAATTGTTTGCATGCCACATGGTTATGAAAATATAGATAACTAAACTAAAACAGTTTTTCTGCAACTTGAATCCAACCTGTGCTGCGAATCTTTCTCCAGAACGCAGAATTTACACCTAGACAGTCTGGAGTCTGGTGTCCTGCAATGAACGTGTAGGATAGTCACTTTCACCACACCTCACATGACGTCACACACTGCTGGTCACGTGATGACCTTGCTAGGATATTGACCTGAGATGGGTAAAACACAAGAATATCTGTCAGATGATAAAAATGATAAGATGCTTCGGTTGAGTAGACATGTAATAACCGGTGTACAGTACAATGTTAACTCTTACCTAACCGATGTTTGCATGCAATCGTGTTTCTGAGTCACCCAATCACAACCGTCGAACTAAAACGTTTTACAAAAGATATGCAAGAGCAAACATACGTGAAGTCACACAAATTTAATTTGAAAATTAGTATAGTAGCCCTACTAATCTCTTTTATTTGAATACATTTTCGTAGCCTGAACCATAGACTAGCCAAAAAAGGGAACTAAGGGAGTACGTTTATCTATGACAGCCCTGAACAGAATACGGAGTACGTCCACTAGTACGCCATCAAACAAATTACTTTGTGATCAATTCAGTCTGATTGCAGTTTTGATTTATGCAATTGGATAGATAGGTTCATCTATGAAGTTTGAGTAATTATTGGAATCAAACTCAGAGGTAGTTTAAATTAGGTTGTAAAGAAGTGAATTATTATGTTACTTGGTTGCTTATACTTTATGAAATGAGTTAGAAGATGCTACGCAGGGTTATTTGTTTATCCAGGAGACTTGAGTAATTTTAAATTTTTATCCAGGACTCTTGAGTAATTTTTACGGAAAATAAATCCTTTTCAGTAGACATTAGCAACTTCTGGAAAAGACGGTGAAAAATTTACTGTGGGCGCTGCTATGCTACCCAAACAAATAGCTTGATAGATATGGAGTCTTTAAAATTGAGACGGGTAGTCGATCTGTATTTTTAGGTTCTTATTTCCTCATTGCTTTTTGAATTTTAACCAAAAAGTTGGGCCATTTTATAACCAAAACATTAATAAATCTTTGGACACAACTTCACTGCAGTTTATTCCTGGTTCTTTCCAACCTATGGCATGTTGCAGCTTGTAAACTACTACACATTCCGAGAGAACAACCCGGAATACTACAACGTCAACCCCTTGGACCTGTCGTTCATTGGAGAGGCGGACGCCGTCAGTGTCATGCCTTACAGGGAACAGACCGGCAGGAGGATCCTCATATACAAGCTGGGTGAGGAAAAAGTCCATTGTGACGTCAGCCATTGTGACTAAGTTAAAGAGAGACATAAAGTTATAATTGTACGTATGTGAAGAATTGTCTGAGATTTGTGAGAAAAGTCACTGCTGATTTATGAAATTACCTGTTCCGATTTGGTTGGAGAAAACAAGAGCAGAATTGTTTAGAAGTTGAAGAAACGTGTTTAGAATCACTTTGGCGCTGAAGAATGTAAAACTAAAACGATAGGCTATGCTATTACATAGTATGATTAGAAATACATCCTACTGCATCCTTGCTCTAGACTAATACGAAAATTATTGCTCTTTCCAGTAGAATAAGAAGTGTTGTGTCAGAAATGTACTATATATAGATTATCATCCTAGTCGTGAGTTTAGAAGAACTAGAACTAGTATTTAGAATATAGTAATAAGAGTAATCTAGATAGTGTAGGGAGCAAGCTGGTCTAGTGCGGGGACCACGTTCCCTAAGGTCCCTGGTTCAAATACCACCAAATCACCAATCAATTTTATCCAAGTTATAATGCAGCAACCCTTATGTCTAGCCTGAAGTAATGTGAAAAACCATTCCTAGACTGGTGTCTTGAAACGAAAAAAATCTAGATTGTTTGACCAATAATGCCCATGAACCATCTCACCCAGGACAATTGCTTTGAAAACAGTTACTATACCTCGAGATAATACATAGGCCCTAATGTAGTTTTGGAAACTTGATCGATCAGAAAAGAACCTTAAAATGACTCATACTCTTAAAAACAACGACAAATCTATTGTGAGTTTAACCATAGTGGTCGTTCTTCCAGGTAAATGGAACCCCAGCGAGTACGCGGCGGATGAGCTGTTCAAGGCTACCCTGGCCATCCTGGAGCTGGGAATCCTGGAGCCCCGCGCTCAGGTCTTAGGAGGCAGAGTCATATGGGATCTGGAGGGCCTCACCATGGCCCACTACTGGCAGATCACTCCAGCCATCGTGCAGAAGGTCCTGGAGATCATGGTGGTGAGTTACAGATAAAACTATCATTGAAAAATGTTTTGGTGTTATCTGAGCTTAAGTTCCGATGACGTTGACGATGTATTGGGCCATCAAAGAATGCATAAGGGTAGAATAAAATTGATTTGTGAGTGCATTGTCAGAAAGGGTATAAAAGCCAAAACATCGTTGAAAGAATCTCTTAAACACCCCAAGTGAAGTAAAGTATAAGTAACAGCCAATTGAAAACGGGAGGAAGTTCCTCACATCCCAAAACCTACTGTAGTCTAAACATTTAGCGGAATGAAAGTCCGTAAACCAGAATTAAAAAAATAAGTACAAAGTACAACATTACTAGTATATTTTTTACTGAGAATGACTTTAATTCCAGACTCCTCTCAGAGTATGGTCTTTACTGTCTCTCACTATCTAAATCTGTTTGTTACCTCTACTTTGACACCTCTTAACAACCGGGTCTTGCTTTCCATCTTCAACTATTAGTGCCCTCCTCCCAATTATGCATAGGCTTTCCATAATTTGTTCTACAATATTTTACTATAGTGATCGTGAAACTGTAAAGTATATACTATATATTGTTTAACATCTTGTATACTATTTTCAGACCAGTTTCCCGATGAAGGTCCACACAATCCACATCGTCAATGAATCCTGGGTGTTTGACATGATCTTCAACATGTTCAAACCGTTTTTGGGAAAGAGATATAGAGATATTGTAAGTAATAATTTTATAACAGTAGAAGGCATAACTAGAAAGAAGTTAAATTATTATCATATACGCTTATTTGCATATATTTTTACCAAGTAATCTATTTATTGATTTATCCCTTGGTACCTAAGATTTAACTGTGTGAAACTGTTGGAAAAATATACTATTCATCCTTAAAGATAGGCTAAATGATGTCACTGTGGTTAAAAAGTCATTGGGATGGTGTACTTCGAAACGTTTGTCAGTTGTTCTGTTGAAATTCCCTCACCTCATATCAGTAAAGCTTTTAGTGACACTAAAGCATACTTTTGGTAGAATTATGACATTGTGTCTTAATTTTAGAGACGATGACTTTAAAGAAAATCCTCATCTTTTAAGTTGTTTAGATATCCAAAGTTTTTAAAGTAGGCTAACTTAGCTAGACTGTTAATAGTCCAAAGTAACAAAATGTTGTGAAAAGCATTTTGGACTAAACATTCGCCTAAACTTGACACAAGGCCATCTTCGTGTGTAATAATTATTTGCTATACGGAATTAGAAAAGACGTTCGGTCAAAAGACCAATGTAAATTAAAACCCCAAACATTGAGGGAATCGCAAGCATTTTGGACTAATCTTCACCTAACCTTCACACAAGGTCATCTTCATGTGGTTAGATGATTACCTGTTTTGGTAGAAGGAATTGGAACGGTTGACCTTGGAATTACCTTGACAACTGGTTCTACAGCAAGTCCCATTAGTATTCACTGCAAGCGACCGACAGATGGCATGCATTTCCAGTTGGCCTTTAGAGTGGAACTTATTCTTTACACATTACTGTATATGAGTGTGAAGACTGTATATTCCAACCTACCAGGAAGAATAAATGGTGTGTGGGGACGATTTATAACAGATCACTACCTCTCTGGACATTCAATGACTTATAACATCACGAACACATGTATTTGCAGCCTTTAAAGTATATTATTTATTTTTAATTAGGTTCATATTGATTTAAGTTATTGGGAATTCTCCCCAGAAGACAGAGTCAAATCCATTCACCCAATTTACATTTTATTTCGCACTCTTTTACAAGACACCATCCCCACATAGATGTCTACTAGTGTCTACAGATAATAAAGACAAACATTTGCTAATACAGATAAAACAAAGAACAACAGAAAAAATTACATACGTGTAAAAACTAAGCAAACGACATCCAGACAAACATAGAATAAAGAACAACAGGACAAATTGACATGTGTAAAAAAAAGCACACGGCCTCTAGACAAACATTTGTTATTACAGATTCACACCTATGTTTTCACAAGTTGAATGAATGAATTAACTCCAGGCAATTAGGAACGAATGACAGACAAGAACAATGGGGACAAAAAGTTGGCGACCGTCATTAGTTGGTAGTTATCAGGTCAAGGTAACTACAATGAGAGAGAGAGAGGGAGAATGATGGGAGTAATGAGAGGAACAGGGAGGGGAAAACTGCAAACAGAGCACTGGGATGTCATGATGAAGATACGAGGTTTATTTAAGTTCAATTAAACATGTAATTCCTAGAGACCGAGTTGTTCATAAGTTTTTCTGTTGAGTAGGGACGAAGAAAAATATGAATTGACAAACCAAGTATCGGTGCCAGTTCATGCAGCATCGAAGTTAAATTTTACGAGTTTGAACTGCTATTAAACAACAGTATACGTGGGTCTGTTGATTATACTTTCTTTGGATTCTTTTATAATACTCCTCATATTTTTATCTTACATTTTATTTTGGTGAATTTAAACCTTTAAATAAATGATCAAGTTTAATGGTTTGAATTAGGCCTACTTTATCTGCTAAGTAGTCCAAAATACTTGAATTACTACGAGTTTTTTTTTTCATTTAAGATTCCGACTCAGAACTTCCTTTCTGAATATCCTAGACGATCGCCGACCATTTAGGAATTCTATGCTATTCTATTTAGTTCTAAAATAACTGATGGTTTAGAATTTATATTTATATTACGATATGCATGCAGTTAATTCAAACCATTTACATGATAATCCATGTACAAAATAAAGGAATATCGCAAGTATTTCACAATAACATGTATTTCAAAAGTATTCTTAAATTAGATTTGGTCCGCAATACTTTGATTCCAAGTGTCGATAGCAATATAGCTTCAAATTACCCCTTCCCGTGTAGCCTTATGAGGGAGCCAAAAATGAAACCGGTTGTAATGTATTGCGATATTACCAAAAAGCGGCCAGTCCACTCGCCATCTTCTAAACCGCAAATAATCATAAGTCGCTTAACAGTTATGGAATTGCTGTTGTGACGATGTAAACTACTGCCAATGGATGGTTTTGAGTTTCGAGGTTTTTTTAGGATTACTAGGGGGTCCTTACTAAATATATCTATGAATACACAACACAATCTTTATACTTCTTTACATCTTTATATCTTTGTATCTTTATACTTGATACTTGTGATCTTCAAGTTCCACACAACCAATAACTGGACCTGTTCCGGATTTTTGTATGATTCTGTTAGTTTAATATTTGTTTTTCTACCAACAAATGCTTATTTTGATTTATTTTCTGAGCTTTCCAGCCAAACTAAGTTTTTAAAGAACAGTACCATTGGTTGAACAGAAGGATTGATATTTGTCTACGCCTTAACAGAAATTTTTTAAGTTTTTATTTACCTTACTTTGAAATCATGATGTTTAATTATTTCGTACCCTCTGTTTATTTTTTTATTTGACCATAAAAGCTGATCAAGTAATATTTGTTCAAAACTGGACCTACAGTCCTTAGTACTTGCTACTTACTTTCCGTGTCCGGAAATCAGACTTCGCTTTTCCAAAAATTAGCTACCGATATGGCTTTGTCATTCGCATGAAAAAGATCATCCAATGTGCAAGACTGGTCTAGGCGTGGGCAGATCAGCAGATGGCCAGGATCCTGAACAGCACCACACGCGCACAAGATGTTTTCTTCGTCTGGTAAGAGATCCCATTTCTGCATGTTTGTCTTGCATTTTGGTACCTCGACCCTAATTCGATTTAGGGTCTTCCACACCGTGTAATGAAGGCCTCCACCAGGAGCCAGTTCCTCCCTGGCTGGTATGGGAGGGTTAGTCAACGTGGCCTCCCACCTTGCTACCCGATTGCTTGAGAGTGATCCATCCAGGACTCGTGTCCGTGATAAAAAACTCTTTCTGGACCGAAGCCGTCGCTCTACAGGTTGGTGGCCGTGTAATGGGTGACGAGGGTCCGTCTCTTGCTTAGTCCTTTCTGCGTCGGCAGCGACATCACGTCGGATTGATAGAGGGGCGATCCCTATGATAGGATAGAGTTTGTGTACTGGAGTTGGTTTCAAACACCCAGTTACAATCCGAGCCATGTCATTGACTGCAATGTCAACCTTTTTTGCATGTGACGATGCATTCCATACTGGTGCAGCGTACTCCGCAGCCGACACACTGAGCGCTAAAGCTGAGGTTCTGAGGACATTCACACATTCACTGAGGACAGTCCTTAGTCATTGGGCTTACGATAAATCTAGGGGGGCTAAAGAAAATTCATTCAACCTACCCTACAACACCGACTTTATAGGCTTTAAATACTTCAAGATGGGCCACAGTTACGGTTTAGTGACAGACTGGCTGTTTTCTTACACATGATTGTTCTGTATTTTTACTCTTCTATGTCTTGTTCCAGATGTTTTTCCACGGCTCGGACCGAGAGTCGCTCCACCAGCATATCCAGCCCAAGTACCTACCCAAGGTGTACGGCGGAATTAGGCCAGACTACAGCTACAGGGACTGGTTCGAGTCTCTTAGGCATAATCCGCGGATCATCAAACGTAAATATTACATCACTGATACAACAACTCCATTCACAAAACTTAAGCGGTTTGAGGGGAAGCGATTCCACCCTAACTTTTCAAACATGTGACAGCGGATCAGCTGATATATGGATGCTAATAAAAGTGGTGGTCCATAAAACCTTCCCTTGAAATCGTAAAATTTTGGGAACGGACTAAAGTTAAAATAGTGTATTGTGTACTTAGGTTTGGATATCTTAAAATTGTGAACTTTATGTGTCGGCATGTGTTTAAATCAATTTCCGTCGTATTAACTGACCAATTTGACGAGGGTTTGAAAATGGGTCATTTTACCCGAAACTAGTCACTCAAGACTAATTGATTAAAATACTGAAGACGGGCAAAAGGGTACTTAACCCTTATGTATCACATTATTCATTAGGGTTATTTTACAATCCATACCCTTTCGAGGCTAATAATTTGATTTTATGAGATATTTTTAAGTTTTTAATCGGAAACTGTAGAGCTGGCATAGTGGAGACAACTGGGCTTTTGACTTAAGAGTTAATGTTCCACCAATCATTAATGCTAATTCGCTATATAAAATTGTTGAAATGATGTGTTTGAAATTCTGGTCCAAAGCCAAAGCCCAGTATTGTTTTGAACTGGAGTTTGAACCCTAATCTAATTGGAGATTACATTACCATTACCATTATCATTAACATTAATATTATTGGAGATTACGGAACCATTACCATTACCATCAGATTACATTAATATTATTGGAGATTACAGAACCATTACCATTACCATTAGATTACATTAATATTATTGGAGATTACAGAACCATGTATTCTGTATTTTCCAGTAAACCATTGAAAACTTAAGTTAATGAGTATTTTTATCATGAAACTCGGTGTATAGCAAAGCCATAACCCGTTAGCGTTAAAAGTTACGGGAATCCTATTGGTGAATATTGCATTTAATTGTATTTAATGGAGATATTGTTTTAATTATTGAATATTTTACCATTTTTATTTTCCAGAAATGGAGCTCCTTGGATACAAAAGAGACGATCTCGAAGAACAGACTGTAGAAAAAGAAGTAACAGCGTGAACACAACGTACTAGTATCAATTGTAAAAAGTAATAGGTTACATATAACCGTTATCTCGTTCTGACAAAGTATCAAAAGTGACTGTCTAATGGTGCATAGCGGAAACGTTAAAGTGAGAGTATTTTAGGCAAATGTAGGATAGGAAAATATTATTATTTTGTATGTAATAAAATTATACGTTTTTGTTCTGTGTATTTCATTCTTTCCCGTTTTGTTTGTTTTATGTATACTTGTCAGTCAAGATGTAGTCCAACTAGCCTATAGCTTATTGAATCACACCTTGTTGATTGTTACCATTATTTTTGTTGTCAAAATTAAATGGCGATACTGTAGTCATACCAATAAAATTGCACGTATTGCCGATATTACTTATTCAAGTTTCGCAACGAGAAGATTAACATTTTGTTCTTTGAAACTTCTATAGAAAAAAATGAACATTGACTATAGAATATGAGTTTGACTACTGTAATTAGCTTCCCAAAGTCTATTTGAACAACATTCCTATCTTTGTCAAAGTGTAGACAGAATGTGAAAATTATGGTGTAATCTTCGAAATTTTAGTGACCTGAAAATAGATAAATTAGACATATACTATCTTTCTACAACAATTCAACTAACTCAAATGCATTAGGCTATTTAGTGATGGAAAACTATCTCTTATTTCCACTAGGGATTACAACGCACTATACAATTGATTGTTTACAATTGGTAACATTTTAAGCTTCAGCAAATTAAGATGCATGCTCCATTACATAACATGAGTAAAGACCAGTCCTACAGAATAGCGTATTGCACTGAACGAGGAAAAGAAATATTGAGCAAAAAAACAAGGCCACCACCATTTCCATCCCTGATTAAACATCGTTGTTTAATATTTTTGTTAAAGCTATTACGAAAACTAAAACGTGCCTAGGTTATAATCCAGCCAATTTACAATATGCTGAACAATATTATTTAATTATTTATAAATTATAACTGCATTTCATTACGTCAATTCCTACACATGGGTATACACTATACAAGTGATATCATAGGTGATAAAACGTTACGTTTGTTCACTTTGCTCTGTGTCTACACAACAGGCTGTCCGTGATGTCAACCATCACCATCAATGCAGTTAACCATCTCAGGATACTATTGTCAGGTAATGGAACCAGAGAAAGCATAATAGTTACCATTGTTGTCAAATTATAAGTGAATTTTAAGTGATTTATGATTTATTGTTCAGTAAGTTTGTTAGTTACCTATTTTGAAAGGAGAAATAAAAACAGGATTCTTGAAATTAGGCTATTTATTTGTGTTTGCACGTTTTTGGCAAGTTTCAATTTTTTTGGTAGACATAAATAACATCTGGGTTCAGAGACGCTCTAGTCTGGAATCGAACCAGCGACCTTCAGATTTGAGGGTGAGCACCATGACCCAGGCTAACTAGAGTATTGTTGGACATAATATTACAATCCCTAAATTTTTATAATACCAAATGGTTGTATACATCGTTTTAACATTGAGTTTGAAATCTAAGTCCATTGTGATGACTAAACCGCTTAAAATGTGACAGGATGATTGTTACAATTAATTTTCACTATTGATAAGTAACTGTATTGACTCAACCTGTTTCGTTTTAATAATTTGATTGTTGAAATAATTTACGTCAAATTTATGATTTGAAAACAGCTGATTGTTCTCCTCTTACAAATAATTCAATCATTATCAATTGCTCGTCTCAATACTCTTTGTATGTGTAATACGAGTATGTAATATGTAAGCTGTGCTGTAAGGTTAGATTAATTTAGCGTATGGTTTGTTAAACTAGGGTTGCTTTCAGAGAGGTGAAAGCCAGTTGAGCGGAACAAACGTGATTTTATATTTGTATAAGTAACTAAATGTAAAAAAGTCAATAGATATACTAATGCTTGTTTTATTGATAAAAATTATAATAATACAAATTTGTTTTAACTACATCTTGTTATTCAGATACCTCTTCCAGAAGTGCATTATGGCAGTTTTGACCAGAAAAATATTACAGTAGTTGGAATCTGATATTAACACCCAAAAAGGGCATTCAAGTATAAAAAAGAGAAAGGAAATTTAACATTCAAATTCAACTGTAGCCTACAACAAAAACATTGGACTTCATTTTTCACCCTTACAATCGGTTAAAGTATTTAAGTATAAAACAAACAGTAACTATTTAAAAAACGAGTATTAAAGTATAAAATCAGGAGGGGAAATTTGACATTTAAATTCAACTGTGCAACATAAACATTGGTCTTCATTTCAACCATTGCAATCGGTTAAACTCAGCTTTCTTTGCTGGAAATAGTTTATGATTGTTAATACCAAGTATTCTTGATGGAGGATATGATTGTAATGTAACTGGAATGTAGGTCTTCTATCATTATTGGGACGATTTAGAGACGGCATTTTAATACTGGCCTTAATAAAACCACTGGACAGCCCTAGACAATTATCCATACCGTGGTTGAAAGTGTACTTCTATAAGCCCAGGTAATTAATTATTTACTTATTATTACGGCTGTAACTGGACGTATGTGTAGTCCGTGGCCTGGCAATCAGATAACAGTATTTATATAGGATAGGCTACTGTTATCAACATTTGAAATTACTGAATTGTTACCAAATTACTGTTTCACAAAATGCAGATTCCATTTGTAGCCAAGCCATTAAAATGAGGATTTGCCAAACAATTATTAATTGGCTATTACATAATAGTATTTAATGATATACAACTTTTCACATTTCATAAATTATATGTTAGTTTTGCTATGGTCAAAGGTCCAAATCCAAATGTTCTTTTCTTTTGGTCTGTATGTAGTAATTTGCTAGTATCATTGACTTTATATAAAGTCAATGCTAGAATACTGTAGATGGTTTGTTAAGAACTTATGCAGCATTTTTGAAATCGTTTCCCCGTTTAACCATCTATTCCAAAAAATAAAAAATAATATGGTGCAACACAAATAAATAAACCGATCACCTACCTATAACCTACACTTTACCTCCCTAATCTAACCTTACTTCAAAACACTTTATGTAGTCACGAATACTCATAAACCCCGACCTACCTTCCCCACATGCCTAAATTAGATCAGTGTTCAATCTGCGTTTTATTAATAAGTGTAATAACTTACTGTATCATCGATGTAATTCAACATAATATAACCTGTGAGGTACTATCGAAATAAATATCGATTTCGATATATCGCTTATTAAATCCTTATTTCTAACATTGACTGTTTCTAATCAGCTGGCAATACAAATAGGTGCCCAAGCCCAAGAGTAAGTAGTCACTGCGATATGCTCCGCGCATTGAGAAAGTAGTTCCGTCTATTATCGCAATTTGTAGTGAATTCCGCGCCTTAAAAAATGTTTTAACGGTATTTTCTTGTTAATTAAGATCATAGGAATGATTTAAAAACGTTTAAAAGAAAAGTCTAGAAAGTTCAGAAATACCTTATGATTCTCTTGTTTACATTTTTCTTGTAAACAAAAAACTGTCATATGGCTACTTTAGTCCCATAAGCCTAATGTTAAAAATTAGAAATTTTAAGTTCGTTTTAAATTGCATTAGCATTATCTAATTGAAATTTGTTTGTTTAAAAACCATCTCACTATTAATCTAAGTAATTTTGTTAAGTTTGGCTGAAATGCGTTCAGCCGTTATTGAGTGATGTTTCTCTATTTGTTGCATTGAAGTTGATCCCAAAGAGCTTCGCTCGCTTCGCTCGCTCCGCTCAAAGAAATTAAAACATCAGATCCAGAATGATGTAACTAAATAATCCAAATGATAGTATTATCTAGTAGGTCATCCTTACAAAATTAAATCATACTCAATTCAATGGTTTTTGATATAGAAAAATAGTTTATTAAACTAAAATTAGTAATATTTAATCAATAATTTATCAAAAGTGTAAGGAATTTTACCACTCTAATTGTTAAGTAGCAATAAAAACTAAAATAATTAATTTATTTTATTATGATGATTATTTATACAGGTTTGAGTAACATTTTAATTTACTTGGATAGCTAAAGTATGTGAAGTTTTTCGTATGAAAACATTACACAAATATTGGTTTTTGTTCCGAATGCAGTTTTCCTTGTGGTATCATTTGTTGTATTACTGTTTATCATTTATTGTACAACGGTCGATCTGTTATCTTTCACCTACTTTCCACACAATATTTCAATGTGTTATACACTTTTGCATTGATTTAAATGAAAATTAATTGAGTTTTGCATGAACTGTGCATTAATTTTCTGCTTTGTTTATTGCTCAATACTTTAAGTTCCCTTTTAATTTGTGTAGAACTACGACTAAACATAATTTTACTCAAGTTTATAACACGCTTGAAGCCGAAAGCAAGTAATATTTTAAATATTAATAGGCAAGCCTGTTTCTTGAAGAAATATATTTTCCTGTTAGATGAGCAGAACCCCTTTACAAATTAAAATATGCCCAAAAATAACAAATGGGAGAAATTCCAATTACATGTTATATTTACAACGTGGGGTGAAAATAGAGAAGTCTGTAGGGCCTATATTACATATTTGTGGTCGAGTTTTCGACTGAACTACCTCCAGTTACACTTAATTATACACAACAAAACATCTTATTATCGTCGATGTTCTATTTCTTAGTTAGATAAAAATTAAAAGACCTAATAAAACTAAACTGTTTTTAATCAAGACATAAATACAAGACAACATCACTCAACATCAGTAAAGAAAGTAAATAAAAACATATGGTTAAATGATAATTAAATAATCATAGAGGTTGAACAGTTAACATAACATTGTATACCTTATGAGGTGATCAACATTTTTCAGAAGAAAAATTTCTTTTTCTTGGAAACCCTGCTGATGAGAAACTACTTCAACTCTTTCTCCACTTCACTGATTATGACATCGACAAAGCGTTAGAAAAGGTAAATCAAGCATTTTTAGGACTGTATGAATTCATTTGAGGTCTTTTACCTCAAAGGAAGTGGATTTAAAAATATGTCTTCCATTGATAAATAATACATATTTGATTGTGCTTAGGTAAATATTGATTTTTGTGTCTGAAATGACTTATCTGTTCAATTATTGACACAACATTGTTTGGTCACAGTCAACTATTCACTCTCTTGAATAATCTTCTAAAAAACTATCTTCAGTAAGTTAAAATAATTATCTACGTTCTGTTGTTCGGTTACTTTCTTGCATTTTTGTACAAAAACATATTAGTAACCATAGGGAATTCCTGGTATTAAATTCCTACTTTTACATTGGCAGGTGATATCATATTACAAGTTAAAAGAAAAGTACAGCGACTTCTACGCATTCAAGAGGGATCCTAAACTACACGATGTGATTCTCAAAAAAGGCATTAACACAATGTTAGAAGACAGAGACCCGCTGGGCAGAAGAATACTCGTCTACAAACTTGGTGAGTTTGTTATATATATAAACTAGACATCGTCCAGTGGTCGAAAACTCGACCAAAAGCAATATGTAATGTGCAATCGCCTGCGGCTCGTGCGTAAACATTGCTCTCGTGTGCAGCAAAGTGCCACTTTGCCCACTAGTTACATAAATAACTATTCCAAAAGTATGCGTAGATTTCCCCTGCAATGCACACGAGCTGGGAAAAATATTTTAAAGAAACATACTTTATAGATGTGTTGTTCATATTGTTATACGATAACAATATGATATTGTTTCATGGTTGTAAGATAACAATTAAATTTTAAATCGGTTCAAAATTGGGGCTACAATCAGGAAGAACTAAACACTTTGCATTCGCGAGCGCCAGACGGGTAGAGCGCACCCTTAAATCCTGGGAACTGGCCAATGGTTTCAACCCAAGCCAGGCCCAAGTAGCCACGAGACGCTGGAGACAGGTTCCATCATACAGGCTATAGTGAGACGGATGTTGCATCCCGGGACACTCTGGAGAGCCTGTGTTGAGGCAAAGTAACGATTTTGTGCGTGTAGTTTTTAGTAAGTAAGAGTGTATGACATTTTGACTATCATTTCGACAGTAAACACTTGAAGGTTTCAGCTAACTTGGTGTACGGCGCTCACGAGGTCCATGAAATGTTCCAAGTGGACGACCTTTGGCTGACCTTGGCGTGCGACGAGGAGGAGACCCAGAGGAACGGTCTGGTCATCGTGTTCGACCTGAAGAACTTCCCTTGGAAGTTCCTGAGGAGCTTCACCCCATACAATATCCGGGCGACCACTGCCAAAGCTGAGGTTAGTTGTGGGAGCAGAGGTTAGTTGTAGGAGCAGCTAGAACAGTTCTCAAGAAATTCTTTTACTTTTTTATTTGTTTGATAGAGTTTACACAAGTTAATTTTGAACCACATTCCAAGAGACAGAAGAGCAAATCCCTCAAATTAGGTAGGAATTGAACCCATCCCCCTTGCACCGCAGGTCCGAGACACTAAACCAGCTAGCAACATGCCTAGATACCACTGTTTGTCTTGTAATTGGAGGATATAAACAATAATAAACTGTATCAGATCTTACACATACTTTCTCCCATTCGCTTGTGAACAACCTTTATCGTGAGCAAGCGGTGGGAATAATGATATTAGGGGAGTGTCAAATGTTGCAATTACTTTAGAACCGTGATTGTTTCAGCAATAGGTTGGACTATTTTTTAGAATTATAAGGACCATAACACACAAAACCAGATTTGTTTTTGTTTTTGTGGGTTTAATGGGAAAATAACACAAGTTACAAACACTTTTGAACCGTAATTATTAATGGAAATGGAATTTGTACAATTTTTTCAAAATTCAAAGTACCTACTATAACATACCATATTTTTATGAAAATCGTTCTGGCCATTATCGAGAAATTCCTATTTTTCAGCTATTTTATGGGAAAATCATAATTAAAATAAAAATTTCAAAAAATGAAACAAATACCTGGAGATACTATGGATTAGTGCATACATACAAATGTCATCAAAATCGAACTACAGGTGTGGTCTGTAACTCTGTACACATATATACAGACAGACATACACATACACTATGTATATCACTTATAAAAGCACTTTTGGGTTCAGGAGGACCCACAACGGATATATTCCAAAACTCAAACTTCAAAATTTGTAGAAACAATTCTTTTTTCATACACTATAGTATAGGGCTCAAGTTAAATTGAAACTCATATGTTTATTTAAAGTAATAGTGCACTAGCCTTTTAATGGTTTTTATCTATTGCGTTTTTGTGATTTTTCAGAGTTTACCAATCGAGAACATCCAGTACCACGTGATCAACTATGGCTGGGTGGTCGGCTTGTTGGTCAGTCTGGTGTTCCCCTTCCTCAAGGAGGAGACGAAAAACAAGGTTCTTATTCTTATAATGTAAATAGCTCAGAACTATTACTAGGGCAAAGCCAAAATACTAGATCGACAAACAGTTCAATAGTTTCAGCTATATTATCGGCTATTATACGGATAACAGAAATAGCTGGTAGTAAAATACTGTAACTAAAAAATACTTATTCTTTAGGACTTTATTTCCTTCAAAAAGTTATTTTTAAGAGAATAAGCAATTAAATTATTTAGGGGGTATAACACTTATGTAAAACAAAGTACGAGTAGTTAACCGTTTTAAAATTAAGCATTTTGATAACGAAAGAGTGTTGGTTAAATATGTTTAGTATAACAATATGTGTGAGATAAATTACAGTCAAATGCGGTATTTACTCAGGGGAGGTATAGAAGAGGCTACGATGACAGCTGAGGGCTTCTTATTAGCTGAGGGAACGCCATTACCGTAACAAAACGTTAAACAGCCATCGGCCTCGGTGGTCTATAGGTTAGCGTGCCGGGCTGATATACTATAGGTCCCGAGTTCGAATCCTCCTGGTAGCATTAACTTTTTGTCCAAGATTTTTTTATTATCAGCAAGTTTGGTTTGGTTATTACAGTTTAATTTTATTATTAAGTCATTATAAAATTTTAATAATTAAACAATTTCTAGTTTTATTTAATAAAAATAATTATTTTTCCGATTACTAAACTTTTGTTATATTATTTCTTTATCAGCAAGTTTGGTTAGTTCGGTTAGGTTATGATAGTTTAATTTTATAATTAAAAAATAGTAAAATTGAATTTGAGGCATTTATAATTTTATTTTATGAACAGAACTATTTTTGCGACTAGTAAACCTTCATTGCCAAAGTGCTCTCTACTACAGCGCTGTTCACGGAGGAATTTTGAACTAAATGCCTCATTTGTACCTCCCCTAAGTCAGACCCGTCAAATGCTAGTTATTGTACAAAAAAGAATGAATAATGAATCAAGTATTGACTATTATAGTATAGCCATGACCAACAATTATTGAAACGAGAATTGCATGCAAGCACATGATTATATCGGTAGTGGCTTTTCATTCCTTCGACAATTTTTGATCCCCGATTATTCCTTCACCTAACCATAATTTCTTAGTTATTTGTTGTCTTGGCCACCATATCTATGAGTGTTTCATATTATTTAAGTCTATATAGTTTTATAGTTTACACGCCAAATTTTCCGTCTCAGCTCCGTTTCTTGTAGTAGATGATTTGAGGTTTGCTCTTTTTAGCAGGCCCTAATCATTTCCGAATCCCGTCAGGGCCTTTAAATAACCCTTCCTGAAATGTCGTCAAGCATACTCTAAAAAACAACACACTCAAAACACGACATTTACGAAAACTAGGCTTGGATTTTTATAATCATTCATAATTTTCTCTGATGATTATGCAGATATATTTCCACAACTCCATGGAAAGTTTGCACAGTCAGGTGTCGCCTTCAGCTTTACCCAGAGAGTACGGGGGTGACAGACCTTCACCAGTGCAGGCGAAGAGGGTAAAAGAATACCTGGACCCTCAAAATACCCGATTATCAGGTAAAACTTGTTGAAACAAGAACTTTTCAAGTATATAAAATGAGATCAAACTATATTTTTTTGAAAAGTAATAATATATGTTTTTTCTGTATTTTAATCATTTGTATGAAATAAATTATTTGTCTCACTTTATGTAGGAAACGTTAGGATGCGTTAGTTTTAGATAATTTACCTATAGCGAAGACGCTATTACCGTAGGTGGTATGGTAAGACCTACAGACATCTCAAGATCAAAACAACCTGTGCAGAAACGAAAAGATCACGTTGTTCAAGCCGGTAGGTGTGGCGTACCCTTCAAACCTGCGCGGCTCGAAATGGTCCAGGGTTCTTTTGTGTCTGGTATGTCTATAGGCCTAGGCGCGATTTAATTTTTTTCATTTAGATCCGCATAATTTGCAAAACGTATGTATTTAATTATAATCTATTATTTTTAACCAAAAATTCTTTCCTTCCCTGTAGCAGCAAATCAAGTGTTTGTAAATCCAATTATTAAATGTTTACGGAAATATTTTAGTGAAAATCCAATCAGTCAAATGGAAATTAGTTTAGTCTGCAGGTTTGCTGTGGCGGGGGTATTTTCCTGTCTAAAACGCAGCAAATTCGAAGGAAAAACTCAATAATTTATTTCTTGCAAGTTTGAATGGAATTAAAATGTCGATAGAAAAAATAAATAAATTCTTTATATTTCAGATTTATTGTCATACGGATATATGAAGAAACCTGAAGACTTCTAGCGCAAGGCCTTGACGTACTTATTTTCTTATTACAAACTGTAATTGTTATATGTAATAAATTATTATTGTTCTGTTTAGATATGATTTTCATTTAAATAAGAATGTGTTTTAATGTGATACCAACCACGAATTTGATGAATGTTTTTACTATGCACATTTCTTTTTATGTATCCTCTTCATAAAATTCTCAAGTCCATGTAGAACATACACATGCTGATATTTTATTATTTATTTCGATTTTTAAAATTTTCTCACATACATTTTGTACGTTTTAAACAAAACTCTGTTTTAAGGGAATCGTACACGATTGCAAACACTAGTCTGGGATATTTCTGGTGTATATATTTGATTCAACTTTGTTGAATAATGTGAGTAGAAAACAATAATATAAGCAGAACCCTCCCCTATAATCCTTTCATTTTTCTTAATCTCCACCACCAATTGTTTAAAACTTGCTTCAACACGTAATCTGGCCTATTAAATTTTGAAAAATATTTAGATTTATCCAGACAAGTAATTTAAGATTGAATTCTTGTCATGCAGCATGGACGATTCTTAATTAAGATTCATAAGTTGTTCTGTTGCGAAATAGAGCGTGGTCATGCGTGTTGATCTTAGAACTTGCTCACTTCAGATTTAATAGTGACAATCACTAAGAATATTGCTCAGTTTATCAGGCTATTTCGAACTAAATGTCCATTAAGAAATCCATGCTGGAAATTTCAAACAATACAATAGCACAAAAGAAATTAACATGAGCGTTAAGTCGATTTAGTTGATTTAAATTAGTCTTACCCAATTCGTCTAAAGGTATTACTTTTGTATGAGTATGCAAGGGAACTATATAGACTATGTATGTTAGGGAAGTGATGTAGACTTATAAATGTATGCATTAATCTCCGATTATTTTGTTGCGTCATTTCTGTACATACTATAAGACAATGAATCAATTATCTAAAAAATATTCAATTCAACAGTTAAAATCATGAGTTAACTGTTAAAAAACAACAATAATAGCAACAGGTACCTACTCGCTTTTCAACCAACAAGATCAAATAACATTATTAATTGCTTAATTTAAATGTCATACTGTTGGGAGGTTATTTATTACATTTTAATTATTTTATAAAATAATTAATAAAATTGATTATTTAATTAATAGTAATAATAAAAAAATAATAAAACACAAATAATAATAATTCATTGAAATTAATAATTAATCAAATTATTGAGTATAACGCTTTCTAAATATCTTATTAATACAAATTTACTAATATTTTACAATATTAGTAATGCTGTACTAAAAACAATCTAGGTATTTGTGTATAATAAATATTTTTCAAACTAAGCATGAAGATAGTTTTCAAAGTCTCAAGAAACGAAATCTTTTTGTAATCTTTTAGAAACAACTATATATTTATGTAATCTGTAAAATCGCTATGTATAATTGTATCTAGGCACCAAATTTTCCGTCTCAGCTATAACCGTTCCTTGTAGTAGATTTGAGGTTTTTTTTTTAGCAGGCCCTAATAATTGCCGAATCCCGTCAGGTCCTTTAAATAACCCTTCCTGAAATGTCGTCAAGCACACTCTAACAACACCACTCAAAACATGGCTAACAAAACATCTACTAACAAAACCTAACTGCACCAACCAAAAATTTAAATTTTCACCAAATCTAAACCATTTTCCAATAACATTTTATGTAAAACTGCTCGACTGTTCATCTCAAACAGAAGTCAAAGCCCCGACTGTGGTATGACGCACAGATGGGCCGAGATAGCCCGTGTGTCGCCAGTGTGTAGATAGTGTGACTGGGGGCGGTAGTGTTAGTGTTAGTGTTGGTGTTAGTGTGGTCACTAGTGGTGTAGTGGACAACATGGCGGGAGAGACGGAGGCTGTGGAAGCTCTCAAGAAACTTGTCGAGGGTAAGTCCAAGTTTAAGTTATCATATTTGTATAAAAGCTGAATTAAAATTTACAAAGAAATATTTTAGTCAAAAGCAATAAGTATATATTTTATTGTATTGAACTGCCTGACAAGATTGTCAAGATTTGCCTTTTTATTTGTTACTTAAGTTGTGGATTAGTTGTTCAAAAAGCTTGAATTTTACCAGAATATTTTTAAAACTTAATTTATTAAATAGTGTAAAGTTCCAAAACTGTGCATAAATGGGCAAATTGGCAAGTGATATAAAAGTTTAAACCTCTTCGTGGGGCACCCTGTATATATTCACTTAGTAAGGTTTAAAAAAATGATATGCACACTGTTAAGCTGTTTTATAAAATTTGTTTAGAAGGATTGGATTAAGCTTTAAACTCTAAGCCTAAAAAATTCAAATGAAAACTAAAACCCTAGGCACTCTTTGGGTAGTGTAGTTAGTGTCTACTGTCTAAAATAAATGTCTCTTGTATTTTTTTTTACAGTATTTTATAGAATCAATTGCAAATTAATACATCGTTAGTTAACAAAGTGCTGAATTCATTAACTTTAAAAGTTGGTATTGTAAGACTAAAAAATCACAAATCAAAATTTAAATTATATTTTACTATACTAAATGAAAACCAAATTTTAATATTTTTTTTAGTACAACTATTACTCAATATTACCGAATTTAAATTACATAAACAGCACATACTATTTTACAACCGGCTGAGATAAATATTGTTTACAATTAAATGAGTGCTATGAACTCACCAGTTCACCAGAAGTTGTAACAATATAAACAACAATAATCAAGTCTATCAATAGCACACATTTAGCCTGGCTGATAAGAGGTTAGATTTCATATCAACTTCAGTTTTGGCTTGCATGCATTTGTTACTATGTGCAATTGTTACCAAAATCAAAATATCTGCCTCTGCCATTGAGGTAGCAGGATACAGAGTGGTCTTAAGACTTTATAATATATCAAAGTTGATATGTTTAGTAGACATTTTTTGAACTTTTTTTAAATAAGATTTTTCAAAATTGGCCACTGAATTGAAGGAAGTTAAAAAAAAACTTTTACTTTCCCTTGTTTCTTGTTTGTGTTTTCTACGTTGATTTTTTTAACTATGGTTTCAAACCAATAATAACATTGAAGCAATTTATGTTCAGTAATTGGCACTTGTGATTTTTCTTCTTCTTTCTACTACTTAACAAGCCAATTAAGCCACCAAATGAATGTTTGATAAATTAGCTGTTTATGTGTTTTGTTAACTTGAGAATCCTAATTCTCTTTGTGTGGAAAATATACAGCTTTAACCTAACAGCAAAACAAATTGATAAGTCCAGCAAAAAGCTTTTGAAGTTCAAAGATTTCTGTTTGATTAGCATTGGAAATTACAAAAGAACGCATTTAATTAACACATTAAAGGTATTACGAATCCAATTAAAAACTTAAAGTTCTAAACTTTTAGTATGATTTTCTAGTCTCTATAGCCATACATTATGAAGATTTCTCTAACTGAACTAAAGTGATCACCAGTGAGTGACCACTATTCATGAGGAAACCTTTTCTTTTAGTATTAACTAATTCTCACTTACAACACCTGATTAAAACAACACCTGTGTTAAAAAACACCTGATTTACATGACGATGAATTATAATGTATTTAAATTAGGACAGACTTTGAATGTACAACAACAATCGAAAGTTGGTCAAAGGGTCACTCTGTGGACTTTAAGCTGATAACAGGGTCAAACTAAACGAACCCTAACGATAAAACTGTGTTCTGTCAATATTCTAATTATATAGAAAGAAGAGTTATGTTTACATAAGCTGTTTTTTGAGACAATAATAATTTTTTTCCTGGGTGCTCACTCATACTGTAGGAGTAGTTTAAAGAAGATTGTTGTAAACAATAAAAATACTCAATACACATCAATGCTGTTTTTAAACTGAATAAAAACCTAGTACGGTAGTAGTGGCCTAGTATGGTACAAAAAAACTAAGTAGGTAAAATATAGCCTACAACAACATTTTAGAAATACCAAAAAATACTATTTGATTTATTTTTTATTTTTTGTTTTATTTATTTTTTTGTTTTTATTTTTGATTATTTTTGATTATTTTGTATTTTTTTATTTATATAGTAAAAATTATTGTAAAAAGTTAAAACTAAAACAGCTTCAGAGTATTTAGAGTGGTAAAGCTGAAACATACACAACCAGAAATAGGTCGATGTTCTGTTTTCAAGGCAAAGATCATTTATTGAATAGGAAAATAAGAATGACACCTTTAACAAATCCATTTGAGAAGTAAAAAAATCAATATTTTGACTTTTACTGTCTACAAACTGTATTGTAAGCTATATTTTTTTATTCCGTAGAAGCATAGCATTTTATCGTAGAAAACTATAGGGAAATAGCATAGAAAATTAAATCTTAGAGGATAGATTTAAAAAGAAAAATATCTTTATTTACCAAAAATAAAATCTTAATGGAAAATAAAAATACATGAATAAATACAGCTATAAATGAACTGCAAATATTCATATGTCGGAAAGTACTACCTAAACACAAGTAATAATCCAAATCATCCTAGCAAGCACAAACTACATATCAAATATTTCAAAAATTTACTTGGGTATGAAATATCTTGTCCAGTATAAAATTTAAGAATTGTGTCAAGTTTTAGAAAAGTGAATACTATACACTGCTTTTATATGAAATCGACTTCAGGTCCTCTAAAAAATGAGCCAGTAGACAGATTCCAACTACTAAATTGTGCTATTTTCTGTCAAATTTTTAAAAATAAGAAAAGTAGTGATTTTGACATGTTACAAGTACCGGTAAACCTTAACTTAAGTATACGTATGTAAAAATAAAATAACCATAATTTTTCTTGTTTAATGTTGCAGGAGAAAACAACTTATATCTTGGAAAAACGACTGATGAGACAATTCTACGGGAGTTCCTCAATTTGACAGACTTCAATATTGACAAAGCATTTGAAAGGGTAATATAAAACTTATATTATGTACGGTATTAAAAACAATATGATTCACATAATAAAATCATTTTGCCTGTTTTAGTTATAAATACATATATGAGTTACATAGACAAACAGCTCAATTTGAGCTGGAACGGAGTAGAAAGGTATCCCAGGACCAGGTTTGTTTTTTCTTCTTGGGGAGTCTTTTTTCAAACTATTTTTATGAAAGATTACCAAACATAACCCTAATTAGTTAGTTGTGTATTGGTTACTGTTTTCGTAGTATGAATATGTAAAATTCATAGTGCAAAGTCTATTTGAAGACAGGTTTTATTCAAAATGATCTACTTCAAAACACTTTCAACCAATCCAGATGAGAATAGATTAAAGGTCCAGTTAATATACTAATTTATTACTAATTTGCCATTAATTTTGATACTAATTTATGATACTTTTCAATGACAGAGCAGGGTTCAAACTGTTTCTCAGAATGTCACAGGGCTGGAAACGAACAAAATATAGTAGAAATGGTTTACCAACTGGTTTCAATTTATCATTTTTGTTGACTCAATCCCTCAAGCCTCTCCCTGAGTTAGTTCCACTGGCATTCCACATCCCTCTTTTGGCTGATTCTCTCATCAACATTTCACAAGTCTTTCACTCCATCTTCAATCCTTCCATCTATGCTTACAATATTTTGAAAATAAGATAGCAGAAAACAGTGTAAAATTAGGGATTGTTGCCTTGGATAAGCTAACGTTCAGTTAAAACTTAAAAGAAGAAACATCAATGTATGAGACACACACCTCGAGATAGGCTGTTTGGCGAAATTTTGCTAAAGAAGGAAAAGAAAGAGTCAAACAGTTTTTTAATTTACTGAATGAGAATGAGTGTCTAGTTAATTTTAAAGTTATTACTTCTTCCAGATAAAACTATGGTTCAGACTAAAAGCTCAAAACAACCAGTTCTACGCTTCCAAAAGAGATCCAAATGTTCACGACATAATTTTGAAGAAAGAAGTTCACATGATGCTACCAGACAGGGACCAGCTAGGAAGAAGAGTATATTTGTTTAAACTGGGTGAGTTTTTAAATTTAAAAAAAAACTACTTCACTTAACACAAAATATTTTTGTTTCTGTTATCCCATCCCAAAAGTTAGCCTCTAAAAATGAACTTCCTACTTTATGGAAAGAATATTATTACAAAGCCTATCATTATGTTAAATTTTAAATAATAATTGAGATCAAAATTACTTTCTTAACAAGTAACTGTAATGACTATACACCTCTGAAGCTGAAGCGGTAAGCAGAGTCGCCTCTCCGCAAGTGAATCATCAGTTAACAGAGTTGTAAGAGCAAAACGGTTGCACAAATGTAAACTGGGAGTGGTGAGATAAGGTCAATATGTAGTATAGACTCTGTGTTTATTTAACTTGGAAGACAAGGAGGAGTAGGAAGAGTTGCTGCTGAATTTAGTGAAGGATCGAACATGTGCAAGTGACTCATTTGAAAGGTGTTAAAATGAAGGAGCAGTGTTCAAGTATCAATAACCACTTAAATTAATGACAAACTTACTTGATTAATTAACTGATAAATACTTTGGTCCCTGCCTTCTGCTCTCCGCTTTTGCACCTAAGAAAACCCAGCTTTATGGAATGCACAATAAATTATCCCATAGTTTTCTGGAATGTATATATGAGATCACCCAATTTAACAAAAGCAATTGTCCTGCAGGGTACAAAGGGAACCAGACGATGAACTAATTGAGACTCATCCCTTCAGACTGCTTTAGCTGCAGACAGTGATGTGGGTCACATAGTTTGTTACCATGTAACTGTTTCCCAGCATCTTGGTTTTAATATGTTTAACAACCTTGAAGAACTCATTACGTTGAAGGGTTACCTCATGGGTTCTGGAATGACTTTTCCTGCTGAAACTCAAGATTTTTTGAGCAGCTCTTGTTATGTTCAGTCGAGAAGCTACACAAAACTGTAAAATACTTCCATTAGTGTGTACCACTTTTCCTTAGCCTGGCTTATTGTTTGTTGGCTCAATAACTGATTTGGTTTGATTATGTATCCTATACTAGCTAAACAGCAAATCATTTCATAGCTGGAAGGGTACCAGATGGATGTACTAATTATATTGAAACTGGTATCTATAGGTAATCTAGTGTACGGTGCTCACGAGCCTTACGAGATGTTCCAAGTGGACGACATCTGGTTGACCTTGGCTCTCCAAGAAGAGGAGACTCAGAAGAATGGACTAGTGTTTTTGATGGACATGGACAAGTTCTCTTGGAAGTTCTTGCGATACTTCACTCCACACATCATTCGGTGTTCCACCGCCAAAGCTGAGGTTGGTTCTTGTGAAAACAATGAAATATGTACATTAAATTTCTTCAGTTTTTAATTTCAGACAAGTGTTTTGAAAATGAAAATGTACACTAACGTCTTTCTTTATATTTATTGCATCATCTGTGTTTTTTTTATTTTGGTAATTGATTACAAATTAGCAATGAGTGGTTGTCACCCTTTTTCCAAATACCTAACCCATTTGCCATTTATCCATTTCAATTTATCTGAGATAAGGATAAGACTATTTGACCAAAACTCCACTTACAACTACTATCCAGTATCTGTTAAGGTATAACTCAATGTAAACAGCTGAAAGATACCTTTTGTGTAGTGCAGCACTGCAGCCTAGTAGTTAATTTTAGAACTACTCTCTGCTTCGACTTAGGGTTGAACAGTTTTGTATGTGCAGAAGAAATTATCTGTGGCCGAGCAGTCTAAGTATTGTTTCTCTAGGCAAAAGACTCATATGTAGATTGAAGGTTTGAATCTAAACTTCGTTTTGATGAGCAACTCTGTAGAGTTCATCTGTTAGTGGCTGAGCTTTATTGATTGATTGATTCTGTCGGGGCGGACCTTGTCCTGATGCACGTCAGCCGCAGATGGGCTTTTTGTGCTCCCCACTTGGTGCGTCAGAGCCCGTCAAACATGAGTTGCTTGATGAACTGCATTATCCTATCTATGAGCTCCTCTTGAGGAAGGTGTATGCCCCTTATAATTGTTCCAAGAGTGCTATTCCTTACCTCGTTCAGAGTTGTGCAGTCATAGAGTAGATGATCTGCAGTCTCCTCCTACATTTCCTACATGCAGTGTCTCCATTATTGTACAAGCGATGCAGGTGCAGTTTCAGGAAGTTATGGCCAGATTCCTGATGACCCTTCCTGGAATCTGTCTAAGTCCTGTCTAATCATAGAGCATTGGAGGCAACTGTTTGGGAAGGGGAGAAGAGAGTGAGCTTGCTTACCCTATGGTGTTGAAGCCTAACCCATATTTTCCTGTTTTCCTCCTGAGCCATGAAATGACTGAGTGACATGCATATCCACAAGAAATTCCACAGAAAGGCTGTGGTCTCAAAAAGTCTGAGGCTGACGCGATGTTTGCTAACTTGTCAGCCACCTCGTTCCCTTCTATCTTCTATCCCTGAGTGCACTGCAACCCAACAGATTGTTACCATATTGCAGGGCGCATACTGCAGTGAGGCAGTTCCAGACCACCTTAGACTTGAACTCGCAGGAGCTTCATGGGAAAGACCCACCAAAAATAAACTATGAGAGCTCAGGTGGAGTTGATGCAATGGACACAGATTCAGTGTACATTGCAACTCAAATGAGGCATTTTTCTGCATCTTGCTAATCATTACTGTATGTTTGTGTGTGTATGTGTGTGTGTATATGTAGGTACACTGAAAACTTGTTTTACAGGAATTTAGATCCCTTCAGCGAATTTCCCTGTAGGGAAGAAGCTAATTCCGTTTGCGGCAGAGAAAGACCTAGACCTGAAACTGTAAATAAAACACACTCACATTACTATCTTAATTTTATAAAATTGAACTATTCGACACCGATGAATATTAGAAATTCAATTGAAATAAATTGGTACCTTTTTGAAATTGTATGGCAACAAATATACACAGTATTTTATACAAACATTATACAAATGTCTAGGGAGATGCAACTTCATAATATTATGTAATGTAAGGGAGTTCATAGTTAAGGAGGATTCACCATTAAAATATGGTTTGTTTCAGAGTATTCCATCGAAGCATATACAATATCACATTATAAAAGCAGGGTTTTGGATCAACACAATTATCACTCTTGTCTTTCCATTCCTAAGTCAAGCAACAAAAGAACAGGCAAGTGAATAATTAACAAGATACATTATTTTTACCATATTTGAACATTATTTTGTATTGAATGTGCTTAGCAATTGACCATATTATTTTATAAGCAATAAATCTAATTTATCGCCCACAAGCTTAAGCCCATTTTTTATGATGGTGATGGTTAGTTTTTGATAATATTTCAGAATGTATGAAGATATAGTCTTCGAGATGCAACAAAAAAGTAAATTGTTTAAGACATTGTAACTTGATTAAAAGAAGTAGTTGATCAATAAAACTACATTACTAAAATTTTAAGCAGAAGGTTCTATTAATTTACAGGTTAAGTTTATTAAAAAAAACATTGCCTGAATGATGGGATCCCCAATATCCCACAAACATTTGGGAAGTTGGAACTGCTCGATCTTCAAAGCATTTGTGCATTATTGGTTAAAAATTATTTACTTTGGTTTGGCAAAAAAGTATTTCTTCACAGTATTTAGAAATGTTATCTATCTCTTCCTTTTTACAAACAAACAAATAGTCAACCAACCTTATGTGAAATATAAACTTTGGATTGAATGAGACAGGAATGTTAGCTGTCTATTTTGGCTTGAGATTTCTTACGATCTGTTTACTGTTTCCATCAAATCCATTTTTGTTCACAGAACCTCCTGATGTTTTCAGGTTGTACATATACATATACAAAACTTGTTTCTATCTCAAGATAAAAGCTACTGTACCTTCCTATTATTATGAGTCAGAAAGCTGAAATAAGGTTATTAAAAAGTGTAAAAGCATTGATCAAATTTTACATAGATTCTTTCTCGTTAGATGCTGCTCATCATGCATACTTTTATTAAATATATGGCTGACCTTATTGCAAATTTTGAATAGACTATCTAGTATCTAACATATGTGATGCAATTTCAATAGGTAAATCAATCAGTTCCCCCAACATTTTATAACCTTTTCCTGAAAGAATTCTTTTGGAAAAACTACAAAAGATTATGTTGGAAAACTTATTAACTATTAAAACTTTTTGGAAAATGTAAAACAAGTAATTTATAAACAATCTTATATACTAAAAAAAACTTTTGCAAAAATTATGACAGCTAGCCTGGCTATACTACTGGACCAAATTACTCACAGTTGATACCAAACAAAAGATAAAATAAGCACAAAAAATGAATTTAAAATTTTAAAAATTTAACATGGGTCTTATGGGTTACCATGTTGGTGACGAAATAACAACAAAACATAAACAGAAAATCAAGACTAATGGAAGAAATTCCAATCACATGTTTTAATTACAGGGTGGGGTGAAAATAGAGAAGTTTGGTACAATACATAGTTTTGGTTGAGTTTTCGACCACGGGGTGAGCTCTCGTAAAAAGCTAAATCACTCCAATACATAGGTTTACGACTAACCTAAGTTGACGTTGTTGTCAGGTATTTTTCCACAAGTCCAATGAGAGTCTGCACGCACACATCACTCCCAGTATACTTCCTCCTGAGTATGGAGGAACTAAACCTCCTCTGGTCCCAGCCCAGCTGGTCAAAGATTACCTCGACCCAAGCACGGACAGACTCAACGGTCAGTTTTGGAAGCAGACTTTTCATTCACAAGTAATCAGTATAAATCTGAGTTGACCAATGAGATATAAGTTGATTGTTGCGCAATGTTGAACAGAATTGGAAATCCTTGATTGGCATCACTTGATAGCCAGAGAACCTTTGTTGAGTTTTATCACAGAAAACATATTACTATAACCCAGAATGCCAACCGCGTGGTAAAAAGCATTAAGTGTTTTGAGAGAGTGCATGGCAACACTGGTGGCGCTGCCTACGATTGACAGGCAAAGCTCTCTCAAAACACTTAATGCTTTTTACCACGCGGTTGGCATTCTGGGTTATAGTAATATGTTTTCTGTGGTTTTACTTTTATTTTTTTTTTTACTTAGGTTGAGCCGTTGAGCACATATAAGAATATTAAAGTTCTTGTTCGTATTGTCTCATAGGTGAGACACTCGGATAAATGGATAAGTGCAATGGTGCCAAAAAAATTGATTGGGTAGGGAGTGACTAGCCCTCCCCGGGGGTTAGGGGCACCCATCAGAAAATTCAGTGCTTAAAAAATAATAAAAGGTTAAATATTTGTAGTACTGTGATCCTAAACCAGGATCACAAGACAGTACTACAGGTATTCCTTTTATTAGTAAAATACTAGCTACAGAGGCTAAACATGTTAAATAAATTTTTTCAAGACGTTGCACACAAAATGAGAGTAATAATTCATGTTTATTTCAAAAAATATGTCTTCATCATACAAATTTTTTTTTATTTCTTCCCCCCCCCCTTTATTGTGGCATTCATGTGTTAGTGTGAAGGATTTATGGGGGTTTGTTTTGGTCATTTGTTTATACTTCTATTGTAGCTCAGTGGTTTTAGTGCTCCCCTAGTAATTAAAAAGTCACTGGTTAGATCCTGAGAAAAGTTGGTAGCTTTTTGATGGTTCAAAACTGGACCCAGCTGTTCCTGATCATTGGGCTTTTAATAAATGATCCTGGCTAATGAAACAGCTGATCTTAGTCAGTAACAAAGCTACACAGATCATCTCACTTCATTCTACACTCATCCTTCACTCATGTTTGGTACCTAGGTGGCGTCCCCATCTCTACTAGAAATAATAATAATACTTATTATTATTTTGGTCGTCTATCTCCAGAAAGTAAAGATATCCTTGATAAAATAATGATCTAACTGTTGCAGAGCTTCTTTCTTATGGCTATACTGAGAAGCCCAGTGAATGACCAGAGGAAAGATGGTGCCATAAGAAGCATTCAAGCTGAGAACGACAAACCATCTGTGCCAAATAATTATTACCAAATATGATTTTACTGTATATATTTGATTATATATTTTAAAAGACACTAGATAAGTTTTATATAATGTTATTTGCTAAGTGAAGTGAATTTTGTATCATAGAAATAAAAGTAAACAAATTTGCCTTTTAAATTATCTGAAGAAATCTTCCTTAATTTTATTTTTATTTTAAGTTTGCTCTCTTGATAGGGTTATATTGAATCTTTGATTAAAAATACACTCCTCTACTCTGAAAATACCTGGCTCGCAACTACCCCCAAGTAGAGGACTCTGGACTTTATTAAACCAGTATCATACCCCGATGGTATAATACCTGGGACAATTTTACCGGGGCCCGGGCTGGGCCCCGCCAAACATATACTTATAGGAAAGGGGCGGGGCCCGGCCTAATATCTTTACCGGGGCCTGCCAAAGCTGGGTACGGCCCTGAGTAAAAAACACGGCTCAGTGATGCAACTGTGGGGAGGCAAAAAAACCCTGACAGTGAATGGTTTTGTAAACAACTCTGTTTTTCCCAGCAGTGGTGTATAGTGTTCCCACTCAGATTTTTCCTAAGAAACTATTGGCCGCGCAGGAAAGCTATTATTAAGTGACCCGTATTTTTCTGTTAAAATAGTTCTTGCACTGGAAACCTTTGACTACACCAATGCTTACCAGGTGGGTTAGGTTGTCTCATCTCCAGAAGTAAAAGTTAGGGTTGACTTGGCTTAGATAGCTCTATTCGGCTTTGTAGAAAATGGAACCACATTCTTGCAAACTATTAAATTATTTCAGATTTTAGCGAATTTCCCAAGTAGGGAATATTTAACGAATTTCCCATTTAGAGAATAAGCTATTACTATAGGTCCCATGGTAAGACCTATACCCGGGACCAATTTACGTTTTCGTTTTGATCTCCTCAGAGGCCAAAAACGCCATCCATTCAAATTTATTTGTTCATAAAATAAGCCTTTTTTTGTAATTGAAGTAAGAATCACTTTTGCTTGAGTTATCGCCCTAACAGACATATATATAAATAATATATATATATATATAATACACACATATATATATAAATGAGCGGATGGTGTTTTTGGCCTCTAGGGACCTCAAAACGGAAAATTAAATCGGTCCCGGGTCCTATCTCACCATGAGTACTACGGCAATAGCTTATTCCCTATATGGGAAATTCGCTAACACAGCTGATCAACTTAATTACTGATGGTCTATGTAAAATTCCCTTTCAAAGGACACCAAGTTCAAAGAAATCGAATAATAAATAGCTGAGAAGTAACGATTTTTATTTTTAAGGTCCGGGCCAAAAAAGGCCTTGCAGTCAGGGTTCCCCTCATTTTGCGCCAAAAATTGTGATTTCTCAGCTATGTTTGTTATTAGATGTTTTTGAACTTGGTTATCAAGTGTTGTTAGATCGGGAATTTTAAATGCTAAATAAAATGTCCTCAGTATTTTTTTATAAAATCAGCCTTTTTTTGTTATATAAAAAATAAAAGGGGGAAATGGCTGCCATTTTGAAAGAACAAATATTTTGTAATGATTATTTTTCCGTTAAAATTTTATGATAGAAATTCATATGAATTTTCATAAAGATGTCTTAAATAGTTCTTGAGATATAAATTTAAAAACATAAAACAAAATGGCGGACATCTCACTAAGGAGGCATTTTTGGAATAATTTTTTATTCTTGATTTTCATCTTATTTTTGACCAATTCAATAAACCTATTCCTGGATTCTTGTTCTCAATTTGAGACACCCTGTACATAAAACTAATAATATGAGAATTCCAGCCAAAAGTTATTCAATAAAGAATCATGAGTAGGCTACATTGTAGTTGTATTTTGAGGTTATGATTGCTAATCGCGACAATGACACAGCTATAGATGTCAGCACTTGTTTTACCGCTCAAGCTCAAACCTCAAAAACAGGGTTATGTTTTAACAGTGAATGCTTATATTGCTGATCCCCAAAATGGGGAGATTTTCAAATGCGATCAACTATCATCCAGAAAAATTACACCAATGTAAGAAAATTGCTCTTAACAATGTTAACATCCTGATAAATATAAAACAATATATTATTAGGGTACGGAAGAATGGACCAGATAATCATAAATAATTTAATAATTGATCATGAATCTTAAATATTTTGATGACTTGCACGTTGTATAGTCTTATATAGCTTACTTAATTAAAATGTGTTTTGCGTAAATTAACTGGAATTACAGCTTATTTTGATTAGGCTACCGGCTACCGTACGATACTAATTAATTATGGTTAGCTACACTTGACTAAAGTAATAACACAGAAAATACAAAAACAAGGTGTGTAGTCAATGCCTGTAGCCATCGCCTTAACAGTTCCAGTTAATTTCACGAACAACCAAACGAACCAGAGTATCATTGTGCCCACATAATCATCAAAGCCCCTACCTTCTGAACATGTGACGGCAAAGATGTCACAAAGTATCACAGATGACAGTGGAAATTACAAATCAGCTGATTAACAAAACAAACATAACCTAATTGTAGTTTAAATTCCCGTCACTTGTGACCTCAGGGCCGCCTCTAATCACCAGCTGACCCCTGGTAATCACTAATCACCGATGTTGTTTGTACACCAGACTGGAAGGAAGGGAGGGTAACAATTAGCTCTCAGTACGTGAGTGACAGAGAATCTGCTAGGACATCATGAGATCCCCGCCTTCCGGCGACGAACTTCAGGAGATTGTGAAGGCAGTGAGGAGGCTGGTGGAAGGTAACCTTTGATGTTTGTTGTGTGCATTTTAGCATAGAAAAAAGAATTAAATATAGACCGCGGAATTAGATATATGTGCCGCGGATACCATTGGTCCTGGCGCACACCACTGGGAGCGCCATGCAGTTACGGCTTGCGCTATGCAACCACACTGCACTTCAAGCGGTGTAAGCTACTCCTACTGTAGAACCTATTGTAGCCATGGTAACAGTTGCACTGCTGACAGTCTATATTTAATTCTTTTTGTCTATGATTTTAGTGAGCAATTTCCCTATACGGAAGTAGCTATTACCGTAGGTCTCATGGCAAGACTTGAGCCCGGGACCGATTTACTTTTTCATTTTGATGTCCCCAGAGGCCAAAAACACTATTCCTTCAAATTTTTATAGTGTATATAGTGTGTGTCCGGGAACTTGGGTAATTTTTGTTCGATTTTGATAAAATTTGGTTTAAAGGTGTAAGGCGGGATAAACTTGAACGATTTCGTGAACCAGCATGATCGGACCATGGGAACGGGGTTTTATGGGGTAAAAATTGGTTTTTCCAATTGTTGACCATCAAAAAACAAAATTTCACTCAAGAACATTTGAAAGAGATTAAAATTTTAAATTTATACTAACCTATTAATATTTTAATAAAAAACTCACTTTATTAGCCTCCCTGTGTAGCAGCAAACTTAGGTACTCGTTCAACCTAATGTTATTTAAATAGATTTAATTGTATATCAATTTAGGGAAATGGAAATTCGCTTAGTCTGCAGGTTTGCTGCGGCGGGGGTATTTGTATTTTGTATAGTAGATGTAAGTTAAAAGTATTTTGGGGGTTGTTTTGGTACCGTTATGCAGTGGTTTTACAGTAGCTCAATGGTAATTAATTGCTGAAAAGTTTAAGAATCCTTGTCAAGTACATATAGTCTGATGCCAATATTTTAATTAATATTTTGTTTATGCTATAATATAATTATTATAAAAATTACTTATTCTAGCTAATTAATTAACTTGACCCTGATATAATTTGGGAATCAGATGTAAATCTCATCCAATTGTGAGTTTTGTGAGGGATTAATGTCTTTCACTTAAGACAGTGAAGCAGAGCTTTATGCATTTTTTTTAGTAGCGTTATTTATTGAGTCGGTTTCCTCAAAGACATATTATCTGAGTTGTTGGTTGTTTTTATTGACATTTCTGTTAAGATGTGACTCCGTTCTGTGTACTCGAGTACTAAAATGAATAAAGATGATTTGATTTACAGAAGAGCAAACCTTATCCAATCTCAAATGTTCGACCAGTGATGAGTTTCTTCTTCGTTTTATCCGTGCAAGTCTCTATAACATTGATGCTTCCTTTCATCTGGTAAGAACCACTTATATTTGGCCAATAAATTATGTGAATCTTGTTTTTAAATGCAGAATCCATACTATAGAGGTTTAAACGTCATACAAAAAAAAAAATTGTTTTGGTTCAAAAATCCTACAAAAAATTTGTCACCAACAAATTTAGGATCCAGTGTGTTGCTTTAACTCTTGATTAAAACTAAAACATTAGAATTGTATTATGTACATGAGTTAAAAGTCACAATCTTAAACTTTAGTAAGAAAAGAAAAAAAAACTGCACAGAATTTTAGAGTACTATAGTGTATAGTTTGTACGATGGAACTTGTCTATTGCCCCTCAGTCTTTAGCTGGGGACTGGCCAATGGTGTGGCCTGGGCTAGCACCAGTTATAGCAAACAGGTTTCATCATACAGACTGCAATTAAAATAAATATGTATTCACCCATTAAACAGCATTGCATGAAGATAAGCATGAAATTCGAAAGTTGCATCTAAAGGCAAACACATTTTCATAGTTGATAATTAGGAGAAAATACAGCACTTAATGTTGAAGGTGTTTTGAGAGGACGGATAAACAAAAAGTGTTTAAATTTTTATCTTTGATCTTCTTATCTTTTTAAGTGTATGATGTGCTGAGAGCCATAATATCATAAACTTGAACATGCTGTGATTGCAGGTCAAAAAATACTTCAAAGCGAAGATAGACAACCCGGAGGCCTTCATTGTTCAAAGCCCAGCAGCAAATCTAAAAACGTTGACAAGAAAAGACCTCGGCCTTCCTCTTAAAGACAGGGACAAATGTGGCAGAAGGGTCTTGAATATTAAATTTGGTAAGTTGGAAAACATCGCCAGTTTTTGACATATTATATTCTTTGCAAAACTTGGTGATAAAAGTGTTATGGGTTATTACTATTGAATTTATCTACAACGTAGGTGTACATGGTCATCATTGCTGTAGTATTATCCTAGTCTTGTTACTATCTAGCAATGACCTTTTTTGTTATATATAACATCATTAATTGATATCCAAATGACAAATAGTATCTGA